CTTAAAACTAAACATAGAGGAGCAGCAAAACATTATAAAGATTATATATATATATATATATCCTCTCCCCTTTCTGGTTGATTTGCTATAGGAAATGACCATATTCTATCCCTTTCATCAAGCTAATGCATGTTGAGCAACTTAAAATAACATTATATTCTCACAGTTCATCCGAGCAGAGCTTCCTTTACATACACACGGTGATTAAGCTAACAAACCCTTCCTGCCTTTTTGCATTTCCCCCCTTTCCTTCACATTGGCTGTTGTGTGACTGTATGATAATTGTATTCCAGGGGGATGCAGGAGGGGCCCGTACTCTTCAGAGGAAGTGGACAAGTTTCCTGAAGGCCCGGCTAGTGTGCTCTATTCCAGAGTTACAACTTCATTTTAACCTGCTGCAAGCTGTGTACACATTGCGCACCAACCACTGGAAGTCCACAGAGTTCTATGCCGTCTTCCAAGCACTCTGGTGAGACATTAGTGTAATCTGGTATTTATAGGGGCCTCTTATACAACTTGGATAGTGGAACTAGGCTCGCCCCCCCTTACCTGTGTCAAGTCTTCACCCGGCCTTTTTTTTAGGTTCACGATTTTCGACCATGTTCATTTGGCTGGATAGGAATGGTGTAATTAAACTTTAAATCTAGAAAAGCTCTACATAATATGATATATGATCTTTTGATGGGCTCTGAATATGTATAAACCAGTTTGACACTTTAGCAGACAGTAGACCTGGAGATGTATGGTGTCCTGCCAAATAAGTATTGGAATCTATGAATGGGAGAATAAAATGCACACAAAAAAGCCTCTATCCATACAACTTTCAATTTTTTTCATAATCTTAATTTTTTATTTTTAAAATGTATTATTATTAAAAACCAAAATATAATATCATCTTTTTTTGGGTGGGAATATGTGTGGGTTTTGTTTTTAATCTGTAGGATATATCTGTTGTATAGTGTCATGTCATTTATAATGTTCATACAATTTTTGGGGGCACAGACCATTTTAGGGGGTTCTGTTTCTTGTGCGTTTTGTATTCTATTTTGGTTCTCATTATCTGCACTCCTTAAGGCTTCATTCACCCCTACTTTAGGTGCAATTTGGTATTCCTGCGGCAAGAATCCAAAATCTGCCGTTTTCGTGCAGCAGCTGTCATGCGTTCAAGTTAAAGATCAAGTGACCACATGTAATCATATATGATGCCATTACATGCAGTTAAAAATCGATCGTGCATCCAGGGATCATGATTGGTTCCTGGGATTCCTGCTGCAGGAAATTGCAAGTTCCTTATGCAGGAATTCCAAATCACACCTAATCACACCTCATTCATACTGGGTATGAATGAGGGCTTAGCAGTGCTGGCTGGATTTAAAATTTTGATTCCCTATAGGTTCTTGACGTCTCAATCCCTGTTGCAAAAAATGTACCCTCGTTTGTCACAACAGGAAGTGACAAAAATTTCCCATTTTAAAACCGACAAATGGCAATAAAAAGCAGAATGTGGTTCTGCCCTTGGGGTACATCACATGTGTCAAACTCAAGGCCCAGGGGGCTGAATCCGGCCCACGAGGCCATTTCCTATACTTCTACTTTCAGATCTAGGTATTAAGTTATTACTAAAACCAGTGATAATCGAATGCAGAGGCAATTATGATAAAGATTAGGTACATTTATATAGTCTTACAGATACCTTTTTGAGGGCAACCATAATGTTGATGCGGCCCACGATTAAATTGAGTTTGACACCCCTGGGGTACAGCATCCAGGAACCATTAGCTTTTTACTGCAATTCAAGGCCAGTTGTACCATTTTTCTCCATTTTGTAGTATTTGACCGGAGCAGGTTGTTGGTTGGCCACTTTTCCTATATTCTGTTAAATACTGTCATTTTCATTATTTCCTCTTCGGCTTTGTCCTGGTACATCAGGTTGCCCCGTTCAATCCCTATAAAATTGGTTGGGTCATATGTTATTTCTGGCTAACAGTCTCTTGCCCATTTCAGGGGGGATGTTTCTGTCTCCGCCGTCTGCCAGTACTCCTTACAAGACATCCAGAAGGTGTTTGATGGGTCGTACAAGGAATATCACGAACAGGCCAAGAAGTGGGGCCCGTATTCTGACTCCGTGCCCATTCCCCGCCCTGGATCTGTAAGTCTAGTTTAATTACAAGTTAATATAGTCAATCTAAGGCTCATAAGCTGCATTCATTGACCTGACATGAACTGCATGGAGAGCGAGGCGGCACAAACTGCTCATCCCTTGAGAGGCAGCCAGGAAAACTTTGCCGCGACACAATTAACTATTTGTGGTGACTTAACACTTCAGCTTTCTATAAGAAACATCTGAAAAGGCTATTCTTTTTGACAAGTGTTTTTTTTTTTTTATCTTCTAATGATGCTTTTCTCAGTGTAACAGGTTTAGAGGTCCTCCAACTTGGCTTATGAGCCATGCACAAATATATAAGAAGCGCTGCACTATCACACTAATGATAAATACAGTAGTAAAAACAATATTATACTGTAGTAATTAGGGATGCACCGATACTAGTATCGGTATCTGTGCCGATACTGAGTATTTGGGCAAGAACTCGGACAAATGCTCCAATACTTACCTCCGATACCGGAACTTCCGGTCAGAGGGAAATCTCCCCCTGACCAACAGTGCCGAGGGAGCATTGAGCTGGCTTCCTTTCCAGTCTGGCCCGCCTCCAAGCTTCCTAATTTGGCTAGGAAGCCGGCTTCATGTGTGGTTTGGAAGTGAGGCTGCTTAGCAAATCGGGAAGCCGGAGGCACCTAATGACTCGCCGCCCGGCTTCCTGATTGGTCAGGAAGGAAGGCAGCCTTTGAAGTCCGTGTTCTTTTGCTAGAACTCTGGCTTCACAGGCAATCGGGAAACCGGGTGACGGGTCATGATCAGCCGCCTAACTTCCTGATAATTGGGGGACAACGCACCGGTACTCGGAACTTCCTGATAATCGGGGGACAACGCACTGGTACTCGGGGTTGCCGAGTAACTAAATAAAAAATATCGTTACTCGTACTCAATACCGAAAAACCGGTATCGGTGCATCCCTAATAGTAATCTATAATCAGATGTTTTCTACTTGGCTTTATGTGTATTAAAGTGTGCTATACACAAAAGGTACTTTGAAAATGAAATCAGACAGAGCCAAGAATGCAGTTTCCAAGCCATTCACTGGGATGTCGCATTTAGGTTAACAATTACCCTGATCGGCTGAGCACCCCTAGATGGCGGTTAATAGAGATGAGGCTGGGCTTGGTGCAAATTAAGTTCACCACAAGCCCTTTCAAAACACTAACCGCCAGCCCTCCTCCTGATCCAATCGATGGCAGTACTTGTGGCACGGTCATTCCCCCTGTCCCTTTTGTAACGTATAGCTGCGGGGCTGGGTATGCGCCTCCCAGCAGATGATTGAGTTAGGAAGCGAGGGTGGCGTTCTGAGTTTTGAGAGGGCTAACGCAGGCGATCGGAGATCACACCAAGCCCAGCCTCATCACTAGTCGTGAGGAACATTGGAAATTCCTCTGCTCATCAGTGCCATCTAGTGGTCAGTTTTATAGCTGGGCAGCACATTTATAAATCAGCCCCTTAAAGTGTATGTACACATTTCAGTCTGACTTCAAGTTTACATTTAGCAGAGCTTTCTGTATACATGTAGTATTCATGAAGGGTGCATTCACATCAAAATCCAAAGGAAATCGCACGTCAACTTCTGATCCGTTGCATTGCGATCCAGAAGGGCATCGAAAAATTAATGGGTGCGAATGGGGCTAGATCACACCGGATCCTTAGCATTACCTTGTGCTGAAAAAAAGTAGTCCATGTTCTATTTTTTTTTTTTATTAAAGCAACAGAACGGAGTAGAGTGAACTAGCCACATTCACACCCATTTTTTTTTTTGGTGCCCTTCCGGTGAAAAACATATCGCAATGCAACTGATCTCATCGAAACAAATCCTGTGTGAATTGGCCCTTAATAAACAAATGCATTTTATATACAATTTGTTTTTGGAAGTCGCATGACCCATATATCCCCTCTTCTTCCCGGAGCCTCCTGACAATTGCCTGGGTTCCCTGCCAGTAGCTTCTATCAGTGAGGTTCTGCAGGGCTGGACATTGGGATGAGTCAGCATGTAGGCATGTTCGCCGGCACAATGTCCTGTAGTACCTATGGGGTAAAGAGGGAACGGGGAGCATGGCTGCAAAACTGACTACCTTTGCAAACCCAGAAATTACCTTTTTGAAAGTAGGGGTGACATTATCACTGTGCTGTAGATAGCCTGAGCAGAGCTGAGAGGGACCAGGTAGGCTCCACTCACTAAAGACTTCCTACAGAAAACTACAGGAGGGGGCGGAGACAAGACCATTCACCCTGTGCAAATAGAGTGAGCAGCAGTGACTGGTCTTTTTTACAGGAAGCTCCAAGCTTCACACTGGATTACTGCACAGATCTGGAAAAAATACACAAAGCTCATTAAGATTCAAATAAGAATACACATGACTCTTGTACTTAAACAATATTTCCTTATAGCTGATTTCAGCTCTACATGTCACTTAGTTAACCCTTTATGCTCTACACTGGAGATATAAACTGTACAGAATACCACAATAAGCTGAACATCCCAAAGCTCAGGGCAGAAGACAAATTGGTGCATCAAACTATTTTTACAGTTTGCCTCTCCTGCTGTCCAGTTTGTCCAGTTTTGATAAATCCTGAATGTAGTCCTTTTCTTCCTAGTGTATCACAGACTTCCACAGACGTCATGGAATGATCAGCTCACTGGACCTTCCAGACAACACACTCAACTTCGCCAAGACGCACCCCCTGATGGATGACACTGTCCAGCCTGTTCAAGGACGCCCCTTGCTGGTCAGGAAAGGGGTCAACTTTACCACAATTGCAGTAAACACGACTAAAGGGCTGCATGGGGAGTTGTATGATGTCCTATTCATTGGAACAGGTGAGAGCTTCTGCTATTACATATAGATAAGTAGGTAGTTAGAGATCAATAGATATAGGTAGAGATCCACCCAGAGATAACGTTAGAGATCCACCCAGAGATAACGTTAGAGATCCACCCAGAGATAACGTTAGAGATCCACCCAGAGATAACGTTAGAGATCCACCCAGAGATAACGTTGGAGATCCACCCAGAGATAACGTTAGAGATCCACCCAGATATCCAGAGGTAGAGATCGACGTAGATTGATCCAGCGATAACGTTAGAGATCCATTTAGTGGCTGAGTTGTATATTTGTGAGTGATTGATCAGACTACTGTTTGTCTTGAACAGGAAATGGCTGGCTGAATAAAGCGGTCAGGTTGGGTTCCTCCGTACACCTGATTGAAGAACTTCAGATGTTTGATAAGCCTTCTCCTGTGCAAAGCCTGGTTCTCTCCAGCCAGACGGTAAGACGAAGGGTTTCGGGATTATGTTTCTTAGTCTTGGGAATGACTGGAAAATGCATTGAACTAATGAGCGCTACCATTTATTTCAAGGATTTTCTTTCAGTTACAAATGTAGTAGTACTTTATTTTGGATAGAGCAAAACATTATCATGACATTTTCAGAATCAAATAATTTGTAGATAAAACAACTCATGAATACAGCACTGCGTAAATTTTTTTATTTTTTTAAAAGAATAACTCTGGGAATATAAAAAATTGCCCTTGCAGTGGGGATACCTCCGTACTGCAAGGGTTAGGTGCTCGTTTTGTCTAGGGGACTCAAAATAAAGCACATATACTCACCTGATACTAAGTTTTGAGGCCGTCAACACTTACCTTTCTGCTCCAGCTGTGGTATGTGTCTCAGTTTCTATAATCTGCCTGGTTTTAATATTGCAAACCACAGTTGATCACTTTACACGTCTCCGTGTGCTGTCTCCTCCATATTGCTGACTTCCTCTTTCTCTTGCAGCCTTTTCTGTTTGCTGGTTCCCCAGCTGGACTGGTACAGCTGCCCTTGGCAGACTGCAGTAAATACAGATCCTGTGCAGACTGCGTTCTTGCCCGGGACCCCTTTTGTGCCTGGAATGTCAACATCGGTCGATGTGTTCCCTCTGATGAGCAGTACGGGTGAGTGCTGGCAATATTGCTGGGAACAGTAAATCATTCATTGTGTCCATCTTTGATGGAGAATCAAAAGCTTGCTTGTAACACAGTTAAAGATGAGATCCCGCTCTGACGCTCTCTTGTGTTCCCTGTAGGGATGTGTTGCTACAGGATATCCAGGGTTCAGATGCATCAATGTGTGACGTTCAGTACAATAAAGCTGGTAAGTAGTATTGTCTTGTTTGTGGATATTGATGGGCAAGGGTTTGACGTGGAAGAAATCTGTATATCAGCTGAAAGATTTTAAATGTATTAAACCCCATTAAAGTGGACTTTTGCACCATATTTGCATTAAAGAACAACTCCAGGAAAAAATTTGCTCATTTTCATCTAGGAGCAAAAATAACAATGTTATACTCACCTGAAGCTTACAGGCCGGCTGGCTCCTAGACCGATCCCTTCAGCCTCACTCCTCCTCCGTTTCGGCAGTCTTGGGTCCTGTGAGTTATCGCGTCCAATGCAGTGTATTGGCATGTCCTTTGGTGTCCTAACATCCATCACTGGAGCAGAGGAAGAGGCAGGTTGAATGGATCGTTCTAGGAGCCAGCCGGCTGCGAACTTCAGGTGAATATAAAGTCTCATTCACACAAGAAAAGGCCGGCACGTACAGCTCCGTGCTGCGTGCACGGCCGTATCGGGCAGCTCCCGGGAAGGACAAGTGCTGCGTGTGATTAGTACGTAGCCCTGTCCTTCTCTATGGGAGTACACGGCCCTACGCTCACCCAAGTGCAGGTCCGTACGGGTGCAGCTGTCCCAGCTCAGACGCAGACAGGATCCATCCCGTCAGTGTACGAGTACGGACACCCGCATGGACGTGCAGCGCGGGTGATCGTAGGGTGGTGTACGGACGCGTGCTCCCATAGAGAAGGACAGGGGCTGCGTACTAATCACACGCAGCACTTGTCCTTCCTGGGAGCTGCCAGATATGGCCGTGCACAGAGCTGTACGTACCGGCCTTTTTTTCGTGTGAATGAGGCCTTACTGTTTTCTCACAGAGAAGATTAGCACTTAACCCTTGCAGCGTGGGGGGAAGCCCCACTGCAAGGGTTAAGATCATTTTTGCCTGAGTTCTTCTTTAAGCTATGTTTAAGATTAATGAGTAATAGAAGGGTGTTAATCCTTGACTTCCCTGTGTAGAATTAAGGCTCCATGCTCCCTCCTAGTCAAAGCCCAAGCAACTTGTCATGTGGTACCTGCAGAATGGATAGGTCAGTCAATCTAATCCCTCCTTCCGTTTAGGAGAGATGATATGAACACATGCCTAGGCCATGATTACCACTGGAGGAAGCCTGGTGTAACATTTTCCCAACGAAAGATTCTGTAACTCTGTTTGGCCAATCCAGCAAGGCATTTGAGCATAGGTCCTGCTTTAACATGCAACCTGATTTTGATATGAACAATGCATTATATATAATGATATATTGCTTTGTTTTTCAGTTAAGCCCTCATTAAGAAACCTTACTGTGGCCATTGGGACAAATGTAGTTCTCCCATGTCAGCTGACCTCCAACCTGGCTCAACCTGTATGGACCTTCAATGGACGCGAGTTGTCCCAAGAAGAAGATGATTCAATGCTATATGACATTACCCTGCAGGCTCTGGTCATCCTTGGAGTTGGTGTCCACCGCTCTGGTACATACTATTGCTTTTCAGTTGAACAAGGGGCTCACTTTGCCTCTGAGCACTACCAACTCAGTGTCGTGGCTTCCCCATCTCTCACTTTGGAATCTCGTGCCCCCATGGATGGTCTGGGCTTGGTCTGGATGATGGTGATAGCACTTGGAGCAGTGTGCTTAGCCCTGTTTCTGGCCGTTGTCTACCTGCGAAGGAAGTTACAGGATGAAATGGAGAAAGGGTCGAAGTCCCTGGAGAACACCCTAGTGTATCCCATCCAGCTACCATCTCAACCCAAAATGACAAAGTGCCTGCCGAGCGCAGATTCTGATGAGAAACTTTGGGATCCATCCTCTTTTTATTATTCTGACGGTTCACTTAAAATTGTCCCAGGTCATGCATTGTGCCAAAACAGCACTGGCTCTTCCTCACCTTCTGGCAATGGGATTCCAGGTCAACCACTGCCATCACCACCTCTTCACTCTCCTAATCACATGCTCTCGGGAGTGCGTGGCTCAAGCAGTAACGGTTATATACGTCTCACGCTGGGTGGTGGAGTGGGAGAGGAACGTCCTCCACTTGGAGAGCTTAATGAAGAACTGAGGTGGAAACTGAAGCAAAGACAGACTCTGCCAGATTCCAACCCTGAGGAATCCTCAGTCTGACACACCCTCTTACTACCTGCACAGTTTGCACTGTTTTCTTTTTTTGTTTTTTTTTTTTGTTTTTTCTGAACTACCTCAGGGACTGGAGGATTGGGGAGGGATGCAGCCAAATTTATTTTTCTCTCTCCCCTATGGTATCCTCTGATGGACTGCAGATTTACGAAAGTGAGGAAAAGACCTTTTGTGGCTCCCTTGTTGCCCCGGTGTCCTCGTTTTACCTATGCTCGAGACTCATAAAAATTCAGTATTTGTTAATCTTTCTTTAAAGATTTTGGCGCACTCACAAGTGATGTAAAAACCATTGTGACTGTTCTGTCCTCTTTCCTGAAATCTGCAGCCGTAGCAGCAATAACAGATGGTAGACTCAGTGGCACGTTTTACGGTGCAGGGAGCAATCCTTAACCATTCGGTTGCCAGTCTTGCTCTGCCTCAGCCGTATATGGGCAGTTAGATCATCACTACTGTGATCTCCAGCATTTGTGTCCTAAGTTTACAATGGTCTGAATAAGCATCACAAACCCTTTAGAACGTTGACCAGTTCTTTCTGATTGTAGATCTCTGTTTAAGAACTGGTAATGGCAACCTTTTGGCTGCCAGTTACTGTGGAGGTAAAGACTTGGCATGCCATTAATTTGGCTGTTTTGGCATGTGTATCTTTAGGGCTGAGTGTACATGTGGGTTTCTGTGTCCATTTTGTCATCGGCTCCACTTTCTGCAAGGCAGGTTAAGCTGACGTTGTTTATAACCTCATTGAAACGTGCATAACTGTCTGTGTTATATAGCTGCTAATGGTCTGCACCAGCAGTCTTACATTTGTTATAGATGTTTAGCACTTGTCTACACTGACCGCTGTGCTACCTGTAGCATTTGAAGAGCTACTCGCCAGGCTGAAAGCTCCTCTTGAGCCCCTATGGAGAATCTTTTAGATGCTACATGATAAAAGATATTTCTGTGTTTTTTACATCCTTTCCTAGATCCTCAAAGGGAATTCATGCTGTTGGTAGAGGGACAATCACTTCCCTGGGGTCCGAGTAGGCAGGTACAACATGGTGAGAGATTTACAGTTCATCCACTCTAAAGTGGAGTCACTCTTTAATGAAGGCTATAAAACATGCCAGCTCTAGTCAGTCAATCAAGTGCTTAGCAGATGCTTATGGAGCACCTATAAACACAAGCCTAGCATATAAAATCCCAAATTGTCAGTGATGGTTGACCAAGTCTGTACTGAAGAAAGAAACCTGTGCTTGTGACAAGTCCATAGAAAGTACTTTTAAGCATATCCAAATTCCATAGTAGAAACCGGAGGCCGTATAACGGGAAATGTCATTTGCTCTACCTTTTTTGAAATTTTACGTCTGCCACGTTTGACCTATACATGTGGATCACATCCAAAATGACTGCTTCAGCCACGCCATGTTGATGCAGCCAACCTGGTTGCTGAGTGTTCGTGTATATGAATTTGTTTTAGACGCATGAAAATGAATGTGAGGATGTAGTAATATTTATATATACCTTTTTTTTGTAATGTCTTCTGCTGGGACAATCCCCCAGAAAGCCACTTCTTTATCTTCCGCATCTTCCCAATCAGATATCTCTTCCCGAACCTTCCTCCAGTTTAACCCCCACTTTGGAGTACTGCTGCCTGTTCTAGTTAACATTTCAAAGATCCATTTTTTTAAACCCGAAATTTGTGTGGTTTCCCCTGACCCCATGCCAAATGCCAATCCCTTTTTTTTTTTTGTGTCTGCGAGTGGCCGAAGGCAGGGATGAGAGAGTCGTGTTTTGTGTATATACATATCCTATCCACTGTTTTTAAGCACCAAACCTCCTTCGGGGGCTGTTCGCTAAAAATATCTTTTTTTTTTTTTTCCATTCCTTCCTGTAAATAGGGTTGTCCGTTCTCACGCTCTCTCTTTCCTGGATCCCTTCTCACTTCTGTAGCTCACTGTGTAATTTATTTGTTTTAAAATATATTTATTTCCTGTAAATATTGTATTTTTATATTGAGAAAATAAAAATAAAATTTAAAGATGTTATGTCACTATTTATTATATTTTTAATTTGTATTTCTTGATGCTGTGTTTTTACATGACGTATAATACTCCTTGGCATTTGATAAAGCAAAGGGAAACGTGCAATGATCTATAACCAGTAAGAAGTAATCTCCTGGAGTTTTGACTGCATTAAACTTCTGAAATATAGTTACATAGTAGGTAAGGTTAAATAAAGATACTGGTCCATCCAGTC